GAAATTTCCTTCGGATTGCGACCAATTCGGGGTGCAACGAGAGTCACAGAACGAATTAAGTTCATAAACCGAGGTTCCACTGTACTTATCATAGTGTATGGAATTAGACCAGTTTTCTACATTTACATGAGATATGGATGGTAAATTAGACCAGGCTAAAACATGAATGAATAGCGCTTTGCTTCATCATATGAACATAACTAGTGAATGCAGAGAGATTGAATGTGTACCCTTCTACTATGATAGGATAAGTGATAAAGTTAGAAGGGTTTAATTCAAAGCCAGAAGACACACCAGTGTGTTAAAGCTGTGCCTTGAAATTCCTCCTTAGCTTATCTCAGCAATCAAATCACGTAAAATGTTTTTCTATATTTCTGTGTAAGGGGCAGATGTAGAATGCAAGAGCAAATCAATACAGATAGAATGGCCCTCACCCCATTTTGAAATCAATTATAAAATCCAAAGCAGTTGCCTAAGAGTAAACCTGCTTCCAAAAGATCATCAATATGCTATGTGCAGAGTTAATTATAATGTCATAGCCATCTAGATGACAATATCATAATGTACTCCAAAAATAGTGACATTGCAGATCCCCAGCCAATGTGGGAATACATCTGGAAGGTCCCAGCTGCTTCAATCCATTTCACAGTACTTTCAAAGCATCATGATTCAGAGCATCAGCACTATTGCTCATTGTTCTTCTTCTCATCCTTCCCTAATGGTTGAATTGCCCCCAATCTGTTGTAAACATAAGCACAGTGTGCAAGTATGCGTATATGTGTATGTGTATATTCCTTTTTTTTTGGTTTTATTTTAAATCCAAATTCCAGGTATATGTCCATATCTCATTTGCAACTATGTCTTAATCTTCTATATTTCAAAAATGATGCTTTCCTTTTTAACATATACATATATAATGTTATTGAAAGTTTTAAAAACAAAGATAAAAACTACTATAAACTAATATAGAGTAAGGAAGAAAGAAGAAAAAGAAAGAAATCAAGAGAGAGCTAAGAGTGCAAGAAAGAAAAAAGCGAAGTAAAAGAAATATAAAAAAGAAAGAAAAAATATACAAAGAAGTGGCTTCTGATCTTTACAGCAGTTATAAGTACAGTTATAAATTTACCTCTTTCTCTAAAGTTACATTGTGGCTCTCTTCTTTCTATAATCTATCCTATCTAGTCGTCAAAACCATAAATCATAAGTTCATTTTTTCCCATTTTATGCAGAAAGTCCATAAGGGGTTTCCAGTCAGCAATAAACGTAGATATTGTCTTTTCTCTAATCAAACAAGTCAATTTGGCCATCTTGGCACATTCTATCATCTTCCCCAACCATTCCTCTGTTGTACATATTGCCAAATCGTTCCACCTTTGTGCATACAATAATCTCACTGTGGTTATTGTATACAAAAACAACATTCTGTGACTTTTTTCCAACTGTTTGTCCATCAGTCCCAAGAGGAAGAATTCTGGTCTCAGTTGTATATTAATCTTTAAAATCCTCTGAATCATTGTATGTATTTGAATCCAAAATTTTCCAGCTTTTTTGCATAGCATGATAAAATGACCCTTCTTCTTGTTCACATTTCCATCATAAATTTGAAGTGCCTTTATACATTCGAGACAATTTCTCTGGTGTTATACACCAACGATGATGCTCATTTTCCTACACATGTACAGAGGTGGATATCTGCAAACAACCATTCCTTAGCACAGCACTACTATACGAGTGAAAAAAGAACTGCAGAAAACATCACCAACCTTCCAGCAGATTATGTCAAAATCATAGCTCTCTAGGGACAATTCCTCAGCATTAAACGGCTTTAGCTTTGCTTGACCTCATAAATTTTGCTACTAAAGCTTTGTTGCAAATAACAGCATGTTTCTTTGTTACAGAACACAGGAATACTAATATTATGGTATACTGTAATGATAGGTGAACTTGGCAAGATGCACTGAATACTTGGGAGTGTTGCGATGATAAGCTTTTGAGCTGAATGGCCGTGGTCTATTTTTCTGGTGTCCAGATGTTTTGCTGGCAGTTGTGGCTGGCATCTTCAGAGGCAGAGTCAGCTGCTTTGTAGTGTACTTCTTGGCAGCCCACAGGCAACTTAACCAGGACCATTAAGTCCTGTTCAGCCCATCATTGGCCAATGTCAATCAAGCAGTGTTATTTCCGCCATAATATTGTCTACACCAGGATACTTGGGAGTATCTTAATATTTGCAGATTCCAGTTTAATTTGTTAAAGCATTATGTGCAAATGTGTTGAACACTTGTGTCATAATGAAATTACTGGTTCAGAGGAGTAAAAACTGAAGGTAGGATGAAGAGAGGCTGAACCAAGAGGATAAGTATACATAAGTCTGAATTTATCCCTGTATTATCCACCTAGTATTTGGGTTTCTTTAAATGCAATAAAACATTTCACAGAAAACCACTACATAAGTACAGTAACTGCATGTTTTGACACATTCTCACTGATTTCAAACAGACATACTAAGCTATGTTTTGGCTACCTAATGCGAAGAGAGGACTCCTTGGAAAAGACCCTGATGCTGGGAAAGATGGAAGGCAA